ATCGTAAATAAATAAGAAGACTTCATTGGAAGGTAGGTTTCTATATTCTTTTCAGGGTTATGTTTGGAAATGAAGATATAACGTTAGATAAGAATATTAAGTGGTTGTTGGTTGGGTGGTCTTGTAGTCCGACCAGTCTGTCACTGGTGCTCGGTCAGTTAGGAGTACACAAATGTCCCCAATTTTAGCTAGAGGGTATACAACGCCATATACGGCACTGAAGAATTTGTTGTTGTAACTGAGATTTTTGTAATAAACACGCCGAATCAATCTGATATTCTACCGGCACGGATACTCATAACTAAATTATGGATTTTGCTGCGAGCAAAGTAGAACAGTAGTGGTGTGCAAAAGTGGCCTTATGGCTGCGGGCAAAGGTCGTAATTGAAGAAATATGAAATAAAACTGAGGTAATTGGAGAACGGAAGCTTGAAATTCACAACATTACGAAAAACAACAAAGTAAATCTCTACGCGGCAATTGTTAGGGTCAACAGTCAAAACCTGGAGGCATTCTTGGGGAGTTTTAACTTACACACATTATGGGTGTTTACGAAAGTCTGGTAAACAGAATTCAGAATTGTACGAGAGAAATGTGCGAGCGAGAATTGAAGGAGAAATTATGTTCGTGTGTTTTTTTATGCGATTTTGGGCATATTGCACCAGTTAACATTCTTGACAAACTGCGCCCACGAAAAAAGGCTATTCCTAAACAAACTAGACGCCATTCGAAGGGCTCTAGATATCACTGCTAACATAATTAGCAGTATTTTTTTACGATTACGTCTGGGGGAAAAGGGGGGAAATCTCTGTCATTCTCTTTCAGCAAGAAACCGAATAAATTATTTTAAACGTTTGTAAACATGTATTCCCGTGCTTTTTTGGAGTTTCAACTCGATTTTTTTTCCAATTGCTTTTTTCTTAGCAATATTCAAGTTATTTACTTTTGAACAAAGTTATTCACTTATGAAACAAAAATCATCCGACGTATATTTCTGCACAAAATTCGACTTATTGGCTAACATACAATGATTCGGCTTTCGCACGGCGCGTTATTTTGTGCACAAAGCAACGCCTTTTTTCACAGCGTTCAACGCTCAAAATCGAAATAAAGTGGTTGTTTCGTTGAAAAAAAACAACATACAAATTAAAAAAAAAAAACACACATTTTGAAGAGCATTGGGCATGCATTTGACAAGCTTCTGCTAATAAAGTTAACTTTGAGCTATAGAAGTTTAATGAATCACTACCTACCTTTCCAGTTTTGGTCAGAACTTCACAAGAGGTGAGAACTAGGGTAATAATCAGCAATGACGTCAATTTCAATGCCTGAAAAGTTAAAACCAATAACTTTCAGTTTTTAAAATTTAGATAAAGCATCACAAACAAGTGATACTAACCTATATTTCACAGCCTTTCACTTCAGAATGTTCAGGTGGCCGCGGGGAAATTTGTACGAACACTCTGCAATATCGTGAAATAACTGGATATGCCTATGGTTACTTGTTTCATAGCATGAAGCTCAATCATCGGACTTTGTGATTTTAAAATGATTTCTTGGTTGTTGTTTTTTAGTTTAACAAGCTTTTCTATTCAACAATTCCTAATTCACGGTCTGTTATTAAAGCAACGATAGCTGAATACAAAAAAATGAACTGCAAGGCACACACCTTCACTTGAAATGTGAGAAGAACCATGGTGAAGCACAAAACAATGATGTTTTACTTACAATTGGTTAATTTAAAACCCCAGCAACATTGTGTTGACGTGCGTATAATTATAATGCATCACTTAATATTTAGGCGTCGTAAAAATTCCGTTAAAATACTCACCATTGTGGCGTTTACAGTGCAGAGTGATGGAGCAATGAAAACGAAAGTTTCGCCAACTGAGCTCCCGGCACCCACCAGCGTACAGCAAACTAAATGAACTCTGAAGTGAAAGGCTTTTGTAAAAAGGTGAGGATTTTAGCGGGTCACTTGGGAGCACAATCACGATTTATGCTTACCTGGGGAACGGACATTTTCGATTGGCGCGTACCTTTGATCACAGTCGCCAATATAAACCTTAGACTCGTGAAAAGAGGGTCAGGATGGCCCTGGCCTCGTCCATTATTTCAACGGGGGTTGTAATGTAAGGTTTTGATAATTCGACCTCAAGCAACTATAGTATATTATTTAGGAAGAAATCAAGTGCAGGATTACGCATTTGATGATTTATCAAACGTCTTATTTAGACCGTGACTGCTATTCAAATAATCAAGAATGTAGTGGCCAAAGAGTTTTAATCATGATCATTCCCATTGCAAAATTAACTCACCTGCATTCCTTGGAGACTTTGAAGAAGAGAGAGAAAAAAGAAATTCCCCCGGCAGAATCGGTCAGGTTACGGCGGACCGAAAGCGCCTAACGTCGCCATCCATTATATTTGATTTGTAACTATAGCCTCCTGGGTACATTTTATTGGGTAATCTTTCATTTTTATCGAGGAAATACGACCACTTTTGGGTCAACCTTTATTTCTTAAAGGAAAAGGGAAATAATCGCAACGATCAGTGGATTGTCACCTTGTCATGAATCCAGTTTAGGAGCTGTTGAACAGGGCTCTTGATAAGTAAATTGATTTTATTTGTCATGTAACAATTCCCTAAATTTTTGAAGAACGATAAATATCGCGAATTTTAACCTCCCCCATGCTGACCATTTCTATGACTATAGTTTGCGGGTACACTGATTCATGTGGCTTATCTCTTCTGCGAGCAAGCCAGGGCAGAGGTCATAAGATCTTACAAAAAAGGAGGGAATCATCTCCCCATCCCCTAACCAGGGGCGGCGGAACCGGGGGCGGGGGTGGACTTGCCTACAGGTTTTTCTAGGCCAAAAAAGTGCCCCTCGAGATGAAAACAAAACCGCCCCTGAAACGCACACATGAAAGCATTAAGATTGCGCCTAAAAATTGTCTCCTCTCTTTCATGCAACAGTGCTCTCAAAAACACAAAACCCCTCGCGCATTAACGAGATTATGAATCTTCTCGAGATGGAAAACTATCCCTCGAAAGCACAAACACCCTCTCGATGGCAATAATACAATAGTATGGTGGCCCTGAAGGGACATCGCATATCGCAAACGTGTGCGCATACGTATGCGATGTCGCGAAATTTATCGCGAACGTGTGCGCATACGTATGCGATGTCGCGAAATTTATCGCGAACGTGTGCGCATACGTATGCAATGTCGCGAAATTTATCGCGAACGTGTGCGCATACGTATGCAATGTCGCAAAATGTATCGCAAATGTGTGCGCATACGTATGCGATGTCGCGAAATTTATCGCGAACGTTTGCGCATACATATGCAATGTCGTGAAACAATTCGCGAATATGTGCGCACACGTATGCGAATTTGTTTTGCAATGTCGTGAATTTTATTGCATACCTTGTCGCATACCTTTTAGTAAAATTCCTAATGAACTGGGGAGTTGTAGCAGCTAGTCTGGAATCTAGATGTACTGTTAGATATAAATAGGGTCTGACTAATAAACCTTCGCGCGCACGCTGTTCCTCGTGCAATCGTTACTACTAGTACTGTCGAGCGCGAACTTGCTACTTACGCAACTTTCAAATTTGCGCGCGCAAGTTTCAAACTTGCGCAAGTACCAAGTTTGCGCTCGACAGTACTAGTAGTAACGATTGCGCGAGGAACAGCGTGCGTGCGAAGGTTTATTAGTCAGACCCTATTTATATCTAACAGTACGTCTAGATTCCAGACTAGCTGCTACAACTCCCCAGTTCATTAGGAATTTTACTGAAAGGTATGCGACAAGGTATACAATAAAATTCACGACATTGCAAACAAATTCGCATACGTGTGCGCACATATTCGCGAATTGTTTCACGACATTGCATACGTGTGCGCACACATTCGCGATAAATTTCGCGACATTGCATACGTATGCGCACACGTTCGCGATAAATTTTGCGACATCGCATACGTATGCGCACACGTTCGCGATAAATTTCGCGACATCGCATACGTATGCGCACACGTTCGCGATAAATTTTGCGACATCGCATACGTATGCGCACACGTTTGCGATATGAGATGTCCCTTCAGGGCCACCATACAATAGTGCCCCTCTCGAGATGGGAAATTGGCCATCAAAAACAACAGCTCTTCTCCCGATAATTTATAGAGATAGAAAACTGCTCCTCAGTGCCCTGTTTGCTACATTAAAACTGTGCCCCTATCAAGATTGAAAAGTGACCTGTAAAAAAAAAATAACACTGCCCCTCTCATGAAAAAAAACCTGGTCCCTTGCATAGGCCTAACTATAAATTCAAGGGCGGACCAAGAAAAGTTACTGCCAGGGTGTGCCTGAGGCCAAAGGGCTCTCTCAAGTGAAAACAATTCCTTATTTGAGAACAATACAGCTATATTGAGACTATCGCAGGAATAGGCCTACTTGTTTTGTTTTGTTTTTGATTGAAGAGTTTTAAAGAATTTCACGCAAGTTTTATTTGTAAAAGTATATATTAATGTTGTGTCGGTAAATTTTGTTCCTGGTAATGTGTATTCCTTGCAATGTGAACGAAAATAGTTTCACAATTTTCTCATCTTTCACACAAACGGAAGGTGCCTTGTTTCTGAGCAAGTGCCCCTTTTGGTATATCCCCCCCCCCCCCCCAGTTTGAAAAGCGTTCCGCGCCGCGCTGCGCCCCTGACAAACTTGAAATCCTGCTGAGTGCGCCACTGACTGAAGCATTGATAAGATCCCCCTCATGGCACTTTTATTATGTTCATCAAATATTATGTACAGGGGATGATGAATGTTGGAATCATAAACATGAACATGTACTTATCATTGGGCCCCCAAATAAATGTCTAAATAAATGGCAGGACTGTTGTTCAAGTTGTTCGGTAAAAATTGAACAGCGTCCTCTCTTGGTGAGAAAAACGTGTTCCGTAATATCGAACGGCGCCCTCTATTGGTGAGATAAGTTATTCAAAATGGCGACCTCCATGTGATCATTTGTTCGCTCAAATTGTGTCCGATAAATACCTGATAAATGGGTTGTTATTGCTTCGTTGATGAATAAATTCGACATCAAACAAGTTGAATTAAGTAGAAGAGGATTAAGTACACTCATTCCTCTTTACTAACGTAAAAAGTAAGAAAATTGTCTCCTTATAATCACTGGCTTATTACATGAGTTAAGAATAGGCAGTGTATATTTTGCCGGAGACGGCAAACCTTTAGTAAACGTTAGTTTGCCGGATATGCACTGAACATGCGCAGTTACTGTTTTTTTGTTTTTTCCGGTGACAAGTTTTAGTCTGGCTCCATGCCAAAATTATCGTTGTTACCTCGTATTCACAAGATGGGCAGGATTCAGACCATTTTATAATTTCGGACTTTTTTTCCCTTTTATAAAAAAAACCCTCCAGAGCCACAAATCTGAAAAAGAAAATGTAATACTCTGCAAAAAATGTTTGAGACATGTTAAAATAATAAAAGAAGAATATTCTTATTTATTTGGGGATGAGAAAAAAAAACTTAAAAATGTGGTGCGGTCGGAATTTACTAGAGCCTTTGCTTAACCACTAGTAGTAAGGTTTTCAGATTTTGTTGTGTAGCACGTTTGGTGTAGTGGCACTACACCAAACGTGCTACACAACTTTTGGTTGGAATTTAATACATCTTATAATTCAGCCCTATTTTAAAGAGTACAGCGCCCTCTGTTGATATGGATTGCCGCCGGCAAACCTTTAGTAATCGTTAGTTTGCCGTCATTACCTCCGGCAAAATATCCACTACCTTAAGAATAAGAAGAGTTGGAATTAAACAGGATGACGTAGGGGTGTAGCCGGTTTCTGGTTCTTGTTGTTACTGTGCAAACACCTCTTAAGTGGTTATCTCGCACAGGTCGGAGTGGTTGGTGCAGTGAACTAAATTTTAAAGTAGGCCTTATTAACTAAGCTGAGGGGACTGGTTCTGGTTTGGGAAAAAATTCCATGCTGGGCCACCACTCAGAGCTCCTGCACAAAGTCTATGGGCCATGACAGAACATTTTAAAGTAACTATTAAGTATTATCAAACATGTCAAAGAATGTTTGCACTCCTTAAACAGTGTTTCTTCATCAGATTTACAACTTTTGGTACTTTTCAGGTCATATTATTAAGAAATATGAGTGGTGGCCCAGTATGGATTTTTTTTCCGTAATGACGATTTTCCTACGCGGTTTATGGTACTTCCAGAACTGTTACGGTTTTACAAACGTAAAAACCTTTCAGTTCTGGAAGTAGGTTTATGGGCCGGTTGGTGCCGTGTGGCGCGACTTGCGTGCTCTAATTCTGAAATCAGAAGGCTTCTTTCCGTCAGACGGAGAGAAGCCTCCTGATTTCAGAAGTATGCGTGCTCATTAGTCCCACTAACTGGGTCGCTAGAACTCTTAATAGAGCTAGAACAATTATTTTTTGGGTTGCAAATCCGTGAAATTCAACCAAACATCATACAGCAACCATTGAATAATGTGAATGGCTTTGATCTATCAACGCATTGTATATGGTAGTATGGACGTACATCATGTACACATACAAACACGTACGTGAAGCAGAGTTACCTGACGCCACTTACGAAACAGAATTTTTTATTTTTTTGGGCTCACCTTGTACATCAGAGAGTATACATTTTTATGTGAGAACTGTAAGGAATATGTTGACAAAGTCTTTAAGAGGGATTTGTAGGCGAATGTGGTCAACCTAGTGAAGTTTTACATGTCACTGCATTTTTACACCTTCGTTTATCACGCGTCTTTTAACTTCTTTTAAAAAACAAAAAGGAAGAAAATCATGCCATCGCACTGCCAAACCAGATTTGATATCACTCCTCATTCTACAGATTAAACAACTAAACCAAGAAAGTGACGCAACATTTTGAGATGGCGCTGTTTCATACAACACATCAAGCTGCCACCATCCTCACAAGATGTCTGCCTGCTGTATCATCACAACTTCTCTTCCATCGAGGATACCGACCGGAAGTCCTGAAACGTGGAATAGAGAAAAACAAACAAAAGAAGAAGCCACTGCATCGAGTTGTTGAAGAGATGCTTGGCTTAGAACCTGCAATTGAACAACCACCACGAGTTGAATTACCTAACAACCATCCACAATACTCAAACAGGTACAAAATGAACGTACCAAGGTATTGACCTTGTCCTGTTAATTTGTGCCTACATCCTTCTGCAGCCAAGGTCTTGAAGGAGCAGTTGTCTTGTGCATCTTGTCTCATCCTGTCTGAGTTTCCTCCAGACTACGTACATGTATTTTGAACATGAACCAAGTCATTAATACATATGATTGCTTTACTGCATGTATCGCTTGTCAAATTTCCTAGAAAAAAATCCTTCGCAGAAAGTATTGCTTCTTTGAAGTTCTTTGCCTTCTTTTAGCTCAAGCTTACATAACCATACATATTTTACTGAGATATAAAGTACTGAAAAACAATTGCACTCGCAGACCTGTTCATATGAAAGGGGAATTTGTTTTCATTGTACATTTTTGTTCACATTTTCTTCGTTAATGAATTGTCCATTTAATTAACCCAGAATCATTTTGTCTTTGAAATGTTACAAGTTGATTTGTTGTGATGAAATAAGGTTCTGAAGTGGATAAGGTACAACTGCGTGCAGAAAGGTTGGAGTTTTGAAGGTACCCATTTAACCTTTGCCCATTGATCACCCTTCTCGATTTGTTTATTTCTTATCTTCAGGGTAGATTTTGGACCGGAGAATCCTCACTACCATGATGACGTTGCTTACTTATTCACCCATGATGTCTCCTTACAGGAAGGTGTCAAGCAGGCGCTGTGGTTGACAAAAAGCAAACTCATGGGAAACGGACAGGTACATGAATGTTACACAAGTTCTTAATGTTTAATTACAACCTTTGGTGACTGATAGGGCTGTGCATACGAACCGAGTACCCGATCGTTGATGTCAGAAACTGGTTCCAAAACTGGAAAAAGAAAGGTTGTGAATGTCATTTGTTAGGGATGTTCAAATAGAAAGCCAGGCTACATAGGAAAACAAAACATAATTCATCTTTATGACACTTGCAAAACTTGCAGTTTTCACCACAAAGCTCACTGTACACACTTGAGCAAGATGCTCCATTGATGCACCGATGTACAGTATTATTGTGCAAACCTTTATGATAGATCTTAACAGCAACCTCCGATATTTGAATTGTGGGGTTGGGCTTCTTTAACAGGTACCTGGGTACCCATGTGTTTTTTCAGTCGGGTACCCGGTTCCTGTACTACCCATCAATTCACAGCTGTACCCTTAGTGACTGATCCATTAGGGTAGCCACATGCCTCGTCATCTAATTAGTGATGCGCATGAATGGATTAAGCCCCATACATTCAAGCCTTGACCAATTGCAGCCTTCATTGCACAACTAATGTCTGGCAAAACCCAACGTTTTTTGCACTTGTTCATGACACAAGCAGCAAGCAGCATGACACAGTCAACGTGCATAGTGGGCTTAATTGATCGGTCTAGAGTGCCAGTTTTCCTGTCGGGAGTTTTAATTGAGTTCTCTTAAAATACCTGTAAAGAATTTGTAACTGCTTTTGATTTAGAGGCAAAGCACACAGCGTTAATTTGTTCATTTTTGTACATAGATGCCAAACCAGATTCAGGACCTGACTACCTCTCTAGAGATTCCTGATATGGACGAAAAAGTAGAGCAGTCTATCAGACAGTGCCGACAATATGATACAGTAAACAAGTTCATCTCAATGAAAAGATACAGGTCAGTGTTAATCCTACCAACAGGTTCAGCCAAAGTGACAGATTCAAGCTAAGTGCTGAATAAAATACCATTAATTAATAACATTAGGTCAAACAGTTCTTAAAATAAACTTGTTGAAGTGTACTGATATGTACATGTACATGTAGTTGGACATGAAATTGAGTAATGATAGAGAAGCTGTGTAGCACTGCTTATGTGGGTAAAATAAAAAAAAGTCAAAAGCAGTGCTTACCATGTTGTTGGACATGTTGAATAAACCCAACATTTAAATGTCATACATGTATGGTAGTTGTGGGCATGATCAGGCACTGAATGGTTATTCAAGATGCTTCTAGCAGAGTTGAAGTCTTAGCGGGGTTAGTCTATAGGCCTCTGAAACTGACTGTCTCACAAACTTGCTGATTGTCGCTTGTCAATTAGACCAGTTGTAGTCTAGTAAAGAGAGCGTGGCAGTGCTATCATATAGGATTACCCCGTAATGCCAACAATGGGCTAATTCTGGCCCATTGTGCAGACCAGATGCATGCAAATACTTCCAGTAAATAGCCATTTTAATCAATTGGGTAAAATTTGTTGGGAACCAGAATCAGCTTCACTGGGTTTGCTTTGTCAAGTTCTTCTTGTACATTCTTTACAGGCATTGAACACATTATTTTATTTCTTTCAATTCTTTCCTTTCAGTTTTACAACGACGATGGCCTTAATCAGACTTTGTAGTCTACTTGGCCCACAGTACTCTGACATTCTTAGCAGAGCACAGGCACCCAATTACTACGTTAGTGCTAGCTGGACAAGAGGTAAGAGACAAGGCATTCAGGGTGTCAGGTTGGCTCAGTGGGATTATCCTCACCTTCAACTGCTGTGAACCAGGTTCTAATCCCAATTATGTCACCAATAAGGTAACCCATAGAAAAAAATGTCATCAGTTACAGTGAAGCATGTGGATTTGTTTTTTCCATTTCAGAAAATAATGTGATCCAAGTGAGAGGTCGGCCAGGCATGTTAATGACATCCAAGAACCCTCTTCAACCGTTAGCTGGTCTAGATGAGATCCAACAAACTAGCGATCACACATTGGAGACATTCTATCCGCTAGCACCAACCATTGATCTCAGGACATGCTATGTGTACAAGGATAACTACAACTTCCCCGGTAGGAATGCTTCTAAACTAGAAACTAACTGGATATGAAAAGATTAAATAACTAGAAATGTGTTTGTGGACAAACACAAGCTGTTTCGGATATTCGAAATACTCTGAGCACGCGATGAACAATCAGTGACGTCACTAAAAATGTCATCTATAACAGCACATTATACGTACATGTCAAGTTATAACCAAATCGAACATATAGGTCTGTAAATATAGGCCTATAAAGAACAAAATGCCCCTTTAAGGGATGTCACATGACATTTGATGATGACATCACATGAATTTTCATCTATAACCCATCTCGGCATTGGTACGATCACGAATTTCTTCTAGGATTATCTGTGGGTGTAGTCTTAGTGTGTACCAGGTCTAACGTCGATCGCATAATTTACAAAAATGCCAAAGTAGAGTGTTTTAAAACGTGTACATGTACAAGACATATGGGGAAAAACGCATCTTAAATGTGACGTAACCCAACACTTGATGACGCCACGATCACAAATTTCTTCTTGGAACATCTGTGGGTGGTGGTCTAAGTGTGTACCAAGTATAAAGTCGATCAAATTTACGAAAGTGCCAAAAAGTGGAGCGTTTTAAAATGTGTACAAAACCTATGGTGAAAATGTGCATCTTTAATGTGAAGTAACGTGACACCTGATGACGTCACGATCACGAATTTCCTCTTGGACCATCTGTGGGTGATGGTCTAAGTGTGTACCAAGTGTAACGTCGATCAGATTTACGAAAGTGCCAAAAAGTGGAGCATTTTAAAACATGTACAAACCCTATGGGGAAAAAATGCATCTTTAATGTGACGTAACCTAACTCTTGATGACGTCACGATCACGAATTTCTTCTAGGACCATCTGTGGGTGGTGTTCTAATTATGAATTAAGTTTAAAGTCGATCGGATTTACGAAGATGCCAAACTGGAGTGTTTTAAAACGTGTACAAAACATATGGGGAAAAATGCATCTTTAATGTGACGTAACCTGACACCTGATGACGTCACTATCACAAATTTCTTCTAGGACCATCTGTGGGTGGTGGTCTAAGTATGTACCAAGTCTGAAATCAATCGGATTTATAAAAGTGGCAAAGTGGACTGCCAGAAGAAACGTGTGTTAAACCTATGGAGAAAAAGTCTGAAAAAGGAGAAGAAAAAAAAAACTAGAGATCTATGTCTGTTTGCAACAGAACATAGGGCTTTTCCGCATTATGATTTTTTTTAATCAATAATACGTCTCTGACTATGCATGAACATAAAGTCTGTCAAAGTTAGCCGAAAATCGGCTAAAACCATCACTGTGGTCAGCATTTGAACTCAGCAACACGTGCCCTGTGGGCTTACTGACATACGATGTATGTGCGTATGTATGGTGGCCCTGAAGGGATATCGCATATCGCAAACGTGTGCGCATACATATGCGATGTCGCGAAATTTATTGCGAATGTCTGCGCACACGTATGCAATGTCGTGAAACAATTCGCGAATATGTGCGCACACGTATGCGATGTCGCAAAATTTATCGCGAATATGTGCGCACACGTATGCGATGTCGTGAAACAATTCGCGAATATGTGCGCACACGTATGCGAATTTGTTTGCAATGTCGTGAATTTTATTGCATACCTTGTCGCATACCTTTCAGTAAAATTCCTAATGAACTGGGGAGTTGTAGCAGCTAGTCTGGAATCTAGACGTACTGTTAGATATAAATAGGGTCTGACTAATAAACCTTCGCGCGCACGCTGTTCCTCGTGCAATCGTTACTACTAGTACTGTCGAGCGCAAACTTGCTACTAACGCAAGTTTGAAACTTGCGCGCGCAAATTTCAAAGTTGCGCAAGTAGCAAGTTTGCACCTCCTCAATTTTGTTTACCAAAGAGCACCAAGGAATGGGAAATTGTACCAAGGCAAATGATCGAAAGCACCAAGGCAAATTATGGAGGACACCAATGTACATGAGGACACCAAAAAAGCATAATAGTACCCCACCTTGTCTGTACAATCCAAGCTTGAAGAGAAAAAAAAAAGCAAAAAAAAAAAAAAAAAAAACCGTATGGCCGCGTCAATTCCGGAACTTTGGTCTGACCAGAGACCGAATACTTTTTTTTTGGCCTAAGATATATCAGTTTAGTATAGGGAAAGACTTGTGGAGAAAGCTGTGTACAAAGTCTATGAGAAAAATTAATTATTCATAAATCCATAATAAATCACTTGATGACGTCACCATGACCTCACTCTTCGGGACACATCTTGCCTACAGGGACTATGCTTATGCCAACTTTCAATGATATCTGACAAAGATTAATGCCAAAACTGCTATAATACGTCACTGTTAATGCGCATGCATGAACATAAACCTGTCAAAGTTAGCCGAAAATCGGCTAAAACGGTCACTGTGGACAGGATTTGACCTCAGCAACACGTGCGCTGCAGGCTGACTGACATACGATGTATGTGCCTATGTACATGTACAACGTACGTGCATGTCCATGTACATGTACATTGTGGACGTCCTGTCCTGTGCATGTTTTGAAGCAGAGGTATTGTCAACGTGAAGTTTTAAGCGTGCGCAGGGTATGTTCGAGTTCGCTTATCGCCTCGAAACTTTAAAATATTTTAGACCTACCCTTCAATCAACAATTAAATTAAAAACTAATATAAAAACTGCCATGGTTGATTTTTCAGGAATTTTCTAAGGAAAAAGGGTCTTTTCATTATAACTTCCGGTCTGATGACGTCATTCGCCTAAAACTTCGCACACGTCTTAAGGTGGTCAAGGTCATTATACACACCAATATTTAGGCGATTCCGACAAACTTCGCCACAGACATCTATTCAAAATACATTTTTGCTAATTTTCAACCTGTCGCTAGAGGGCGCTCGAAGATTGCATGACGTCATCGGTAGATGATTTGAAGAATACTATCGGCCAAGAGACTAACACCGTTAAAAGCAAGTTCATATCTATTACCACTTTTAAATAATAAGCCACTTCCGGTTTGGGCCTTTTTCGACCGGAAGCAAGGGTCACGTGATTGCACGCACACTAAATGAAATGAAGGCCTCAACCTACTCTACCACTTGCCGGCAACAGAATGCTGCGGACGCGTACGGTTGATTTCTTATGCATTTTTAAATATTAAAAGTGTCACAATTTAATTGCCTATAAATAAACACAGGATGACGTCATCATGACGTCATCATTCCACAATGTTGTTTGAATTAGGGTTTTTGCTTGGACAAAGAGTGGTGTAAATGAATAACTGGCAAAAAGTCGAAAATGCCCTTTGAAAAGCGACATTTTTTTTAAAATTTCTGTGTACAAAGTCTATGGGAAAAATTAATTATTCAAAAATCCATAATAAATCACTTGATGACGTCACCATGACGTCACTCTTCGGGGCACATCTATGCTATAAGGACTAAGCCTATGCTGACTTTGAACGATGTATGACAAAGATGAATGGCAAAAGTGTGGGGCAGAAGAAACGTGTACAATGTCTATGGGATTTGCCGGGGAATAAAAAGAAGAAGAAGCAAGAAAAAAAATGAGAACAAAAAGAAAGGCTTTTCCGCAACTATGCGGAAAAGCCAAAAAAGAAAAAAGAAAAAAAAAAATCTTAACGAAAACAATAGCTGTTTCGGTGTGTCACCGAAACAGCTAACTAGAGGTAGCCCCAACCATTGATCTCAGGACATGCTATGTGTGTACAAGGATAACTACAACTTCCCCGGTAGGAATGCTTATAAACTAGAAACTAACTGGATATGAAAAGATTAAATAACTAGAGTTAGCCCCAACCATTGATCTCAGGACATGCTATGTGTACAAGGATAACTACAACTTCCCCGGTAGGAATGTTAAATAAACTAGAAACTATTGGGAATAACTAGAGTTAGCCCCAACCATTCATCTCAGGACGTGCTATGTGTGTACAAGGATACAGCTTCCCTTGTCGTAATGCTTAACAACTAGAAACTGGGTTAAATGGATTGGAAGAAATGAGATAATTTTAACTAACTAGGGTACATTGTAAATGGTTAATAAATGAGACAGAAAACTTGTCCATATTTTAAGTAAGATCAACAAAGATGTCAAGGGACAGGACATTGTAAGAAGATTAAAGATAGGCATTTGTTCAAAATCTTCTATACTGGAAAAGTTGTAACAATCTGTCCTTTATTTATCTTAACTGATCAGTTACATCAGAATTACATGTATACATCAATCCCAGCTTACAACAAATAGCGCGGTTCAACAAAATGAAGGATACTTTCACAAATATCCTGACTTTCATTTGCAATTTTCTGAAGAATTGTGAACTACCTTAGCTGAATTTATTGAATTGAAAATGTGCATGCAAATTTCCTTCTGATTAATGACCAGGTATACACTGATTCGTTGTTTCTTACAACTGCAGGTTTCCATGATGGTTACCCGTTCCCTCACGCACACACTCTGTTTATGTATGGAGAGTACGATGAGAGACAAGCTGAAAAGATCAATGCTAGAGGAATCATGTTTGCATTTGCCAACGCTTTGTGCAGAGCCAAGTTGCAGTATGGAGTAAGTGACAAGTCAGTTTGTCAAGTTGTCTGTTTAGTTGTACATGTACATGTAGTTAGATTAATGGGTGATGTTTAATCAGCCTATTTGCTTTGTGCATACTCGTTGAGGGAGTCCTTCATATCATCATTCAATGCTTTTCTGAATAAATGCCATTGTCGCAGTTCATGTTAATAGCTTGTGATGTGACTTGGGATTGGATGACTTGTGATTGACTTGGAACGATGACTTGAAATGACAGTAGATTTCAAGTTGATAAACCTATTTTCTTCTTTCTCACACTCACAGACTGAAGAGATGGACCTCCCCACCCCGTTTGTCACCCAGTGTGTCGTCACTAATGGCGTCAACTTTTCCTACATCCACGTTCAGCTGAACACACTGCAGTTAGACTCCAGTGACGGACTCAAGAACATGGTGTGGCTCGATGCAGACAGCGCCCTCTATCAGGACATGTATCCACCACTACTGAAGATACGACGCACGAAGGGCAATCGTAAGACAGACAGACGATATATTCGTCCATTGGTTCGTCGAGACCCAGAGCTTGGTTGCAGAGAATTGGATGTTGATGTCTTTAGGAAGTTCCTTGCCTGTTATCTTAATGGAGCAGTGAATTGATGTGGAGATTATTGGCATGTATTTGTCATTCATAAATACCTAATGTAGTTTACCCATTCCCATTGGTCGAGAGCCCATCATGTGACTGGTCTTAAGCAGATGATAATGACGTGGCTGGCTGGTCTTAAACACTTTTCCAGTGTCGCATAAGATTTGGACTCCCATGAAAACCAGTGCCTTTTAACGTCTCATTGGTTGAACGTTCATATTCCTCACGTAGGCATGCGCAATACTACCAGTGAATCAGTATTTCATAGTCCAAAATTCACACTACACCAGCCCAGCTGTGTTTTGCATGACAATCTCCTTATAAGGTAAAGGAGTTGTAGAGGGACATTCCATATCATAGTAAGTCAGTGAGATAGGTAACCAGTCTTAAGTCACAAGTGACAGTCAGTCAGTGAGATAGGTAACCAGTCAACCTCGTTCCCATGGGTACGAGATCTTGCTGCGCCATGTTGTTTCCCATCATGCCTTGCGCAATCTCAACCCCTGGAATTGTGTAATTTAAATGTGTCAAAATATGGCACATTATAATTAGGCTGCAGTTTGTCCGTTTTACGTGCCGACGCCATCTTTAAAATGTTTAACCCTAACCCACCTCACTCCTCCAAAATCCTCCTGGCGGTTTTGGAGGATTCTAGAGGATTGAGGATGAATGGTGATTGAATCAAATGAGGATTCTGGAGGATTGAGGATGAATGGTGATTGAAGCACATGAGGATTTTGGAGGATTGAGGATTAATGGTGAATGAAGCACAAGAGGATTTTGGAGGATTGAGGATGAATGCATTTTGAGGCAGGACTATCTGATGATTTTGAAGGATTTGGCGTTGGTTATCCTTCATTTAAACACGAGTGCAAAGTTTTGGGATGAGGAGGATTTTGGAGGATTGAGGATGAATGCATTTTGAGGCAGGACTGTCTGACAATTTTGAAAAATTTAGGCGGAGTTGAAAAATTTTGGAGGATTTTGGAGGATTGAGGATGGTTGTAAGCAACAAGGGCTTAGGGGGTTAGGGTTAAAGTTGTGATTTTGAAGAATCAATGCTTTCAAACATAAGGTTTGGACGTTGCGTTATTTAGCAAAGATTTGTATTAAATGTACGTACCCCTTTCACCCCTTTACAACCGAAGATACAGGTTTTTTTTTAGCGAAAAACGAGGTTGCCATAATCCATATTGTACAGGCATCGCGAGTTTTGAATAACAAACAATTTTCGTAAGTGACGTGATATGCAAAGCACACGGGCGCATTATGGCCTGGTGTGCAATCTTTGAAATGCGCGCGCAGCACGCTCTGAATAGCCAGTCAGCATCGTTTACATGTACATCACGGCCAGGGGTTAGTGAAGGAACGCGCACGCGCCCATGGAGTCCAGGTTGGTAACCAGTCTTATTCACAAGTGACAGTCAGTCAGTGAGATAGGTAACCAGTCTAAATCAGGGGAGCCAGTCAGTCAGTGAGATAGGTAACCAGTCTAATTCACAAGTGACAGTCAGTTACTGAGAGAAAACGGAACAACTTTTATCATTATTCATGGATCAAATTATATTGGAAAGTATTTGTATGCCCTCTGAAAGATTTCCCATCTGAATGTCAACCATTTCGCATCATGAGGTAATGATTACTTCATCAGTTTTGTCAGTCTGTATAATTTTCGGACGTCATAATTATCTGACATTTCATAAATAATGATTTTCTAGATTCTGATTTTGTGTTGTTTCAAAACATTGAGGTCAATAACATGTGTCACAAAATGAAATCACACAGAACAATGACACAATTGCTTTTCTGTTAAAAACATCATTCACCCTTCATCACTTTCCCCATCCCCATGTTTGCTCAGAACTGTAATAGACCACCATATATCACAATGAAAAATGGAAGATTCCATTACAGTTTATAGGGGATTAAGGGAAGTTTTGAGGGGTGAGTGTCTTACTTTTTATATTTTAATAACAAACTGTACAAGTTGTGTGATTGTTGCGCTACCTCTATGGACATATATCAATTAAATCATTCATCATATTCAAAGTGCAATATCGTAAACAGGAATCCACATTTTGTTGTTGTCCACAATAATTATTTATAACTGTACAATTCTTACTCTGGACTTCACAAACTGTGGCTCGACATAGCCACAAGGTGCACTGTACAACTAGGGTTTAGAGAAATGACAGCAGAGAAATGGATATGGGTTCTCGTGCTTCAAGTTGCATTCCCTATGATCTTCAACAAATTCTATTTGCTTCTACTAATACATTTTCAACAAACTTGTTTGTTTTATTCCACTGAAAAAAAAGCATTTTGTTTTGGACACAAAGAGATCCGCTTTGCCAGTAGACTGGCTCCCAGTCCGTACATTATCGATACTGATTGTGGGGCAGGGATAGGCCTCCTCGCGAGAACGGGAATTATTGTCTGGCAGCCAATAACTCGAAATTGTACAGTAATAATTCAACAACTAAACATGTGCCTATTTTTGTCAGTTGGTGTGTCATTCAAAAGTGAATTACTTGTGTATTCCTAGACAAAATAGCAATTTAGACAAGGAACCAATTTTTTAGGATGAAACTTGAAAATAGCACAGGGAATGCATCTTCAACAGAATTGAAGGCAAGTCCATCATAAGTCACATCACAAGTAACATGACTCACTCATAACAAGGACAAAGGAATGCCTTTGTCAACGTTCATTTGAGTAGCAAAACAAAGAACTTGTGAATGACTTGTGAGGAATTTACTTTAACTCAGATTCATAAAAAGAATTTCAAAGTGCCATCTACTAAAAGCCATATTTAAACATCACAAACATCATCTTTATAATATTTAAATTGTCTTAAGCGCTGTTAGATTTTTTACTGGAAAGTTACCCATAATACTTGTATCTTGTTTTTTTTACAACAAAAATTAACAGAGAGTCAACAAGTTTTAGTAAACTGTGAATTGTAATCTGTACAAGGAATTGCGTACATTCACTTGGGCTAGCCGAAACCAATATACAATAGCTTGCCATGTCGGTCAGGTATCTCACGGTCATTGTACAAATCACAAGGCAGCTCACTATAAAACAGGCACCAGCCTAAGTTGATTTAAGAAGCCTCACTTTGAGCAACATAAACAAAGGAAACACCAAGATACCGGTAACAACCACATGATGACTGTTTCTATGGCAACATGCCATCACACATATACTAGACTTCCACCAGTCTCACATTTCCTCCACAAGCTTATTTTCTTACAGGTTCAGTTACGTCTAAAATCTTTTAAGATTCAGAGGTATTTCTGGTGTACAGACAATTTTCTGCACCATGTATCATAGCAGTATGTACATTGTTACTACATGGAACAGGAACATAAACATGATGCAGACAGGTCTCAATAAACACATTCTACAAGACCAATGCTGAGAAATATGGTGAGAATTTCTAAGTTTTGTTTTGTTAAAATCAATGCATTTTGGAACCTTGCGATTATGTTCCTAATTCACAGGTCACATTGTTTGCCGGTACTAAAATGCTGAACAGACTTCAGCCAGTCTACTACTTGCACAAAGTCACAGATTTTTAAACAATTAAACCTTGAAATGTATAAATACACTCCGTTTACATTCATATGACTGTACACATAGGCATATTCAGGACCTTATGGCAAATTTGAAATTTCTCCTTTAAAACAGGAAAAATACCAATTGTTCTTTGCTTTCCCCTGACATACATGCCTGTATTATCATTTTTATCACAAAGCTATTCACAGATAATCTTTTATATTTTATGAAGATGAAATTATTTTACATCACACATTTCACATTTTATATCTTAATGAAAAGAATCAGTTGTCACAAAAAATACATCTGCACCAGATTTCCATGCTTAATTCCAGTGCTAACTTCGAGTATGTCAAAGAATATTCCTATCACTAAAGTTAAAAGTAACAAGTACATTTCCTTCTAGTTTATCAAAAACAATCTCTTTTCATTCTAGTTAAAATTGTGAAAGGCAAGATAACACAATTCTTTTTCATAAATGACACTTGGAAAGTCAGAAGAAAAAAACCCAGTAAACCCCTTCCCCCCTCCCCAAAAAAAGGAAAAGGAAAAAGGACTGGAAACAGTCGTGTGACGATAAAACAAGTGATTTAATTTTTTCCTGAGCCCACGGAAGCTACAAATTCCAAAATATTAGCCGACAGAAACCTGAACATTAGTAACACATTTTGCATCTACATGCGAGAGGCACCTGCACTTAGCTACCAGGTTAAATAGCAACAAGCAAAAAGATCTACCTTATGCATTTAAGGGGGCCGTATCGCAAGTCCAACGCCTCATACTTATGAGGCATAATTTCCGCCTCATAGGTCCAAAGCCTTCTAAGTCCAACATCTCATTAGTCTGACAATGGACAAATGCCGTTTTGGACTTGTGGTGTCGGAGCTATGAGGTGGCAGACTTATGCAGCGTCGGACCTATGAAGTGGAATTTATTATCATAAGTCCGACGCCTCATAAGTCCAAAATGTCGGACTTATGAGGCGTCGGAACTATGAGGCGTCGGACTTATGAGCGGACCTCGCATTTAGGACAGACATGAGTAAACCATTGGTGCATTCATTGTAACTAAATGAAAACAAACAAACATCCTCTAGGGTGCTTGCAGTGCATCTGGCATATACTATTGTTTCCCTTTTAAAATTCAAAGAAAAATTAACAATGAAATGAAAGTCAAAACCCAAGTATACGGACACCATTTTTGAAGCATCAAACATGTTTAATGGATGAGATGATAGCAGACTGATTTCTTTTCTTTAATTGCTCGTGAGAAACTGATACCGTACATGTACATGAGTGCTAATGTCATTCTGTGCAGACCCTATTAAGTGTTTCTGCCTTATGCTGATGATACTAGACGAACAAATTCAAATAATTAGCACACACCTTGAGTTTTCTAATGCCAGTGAATTGATGGTACTCTTAGTCATTATCTACTTTTTCTGCAGAGTCAATATGAAATAAATCTATAGACCAGTCACTCAGAAAGTAAAAAGAATGTCAGCACAGCGTACTTGCATTCCTGTATTAACAATCACATATGCAGATTTTCTTTTCCTAAAAACAAAAGCCACATGATTATTTCTTGCTTGGGTCAAAACACCCAACTTCTTGAAATTCACAATTACATGTGGAAGACCAATTTCACAAATGTACCAGCAAAAAATCTCAATACTACTAATTAAAAAAAAAGGATAAAATGTTAAAGTTATTTTCATATGACCTACACCATACAGGGATCTGTATATGCATAATCTGTACAAACAAGAAAAAAACTATATGTGTAATATCAAGTTTTGAACAAATCTTTCACAGGCAGTCACTTTCAGATATGAAATCAATATAGTTCTTTGGGGGTGGGTACTCAGGGAAATGAAGAAAACCCTTTCAAATTTAGAGTCGTTCAATTTTGGTATTTTACCGAGTACCCAATTAGAATTGGACCTTCATTTCAGAAAAACCTCAGATAGCACTTGTTTAGAACAAGTAGTCCATTCAATAAAGCCCTACATGTAGGTTGACTTCTATTACTGGTTTCCAAATAGAGCATATGAAATCATGAGTAGAAGACTAACATTGACATGCCAAAATACTCTTGTTGGCCAATGGTTCTTCAATCAAACACAAAATAAAGGATATTCCCCTGATGTAAGAAAGTCTGTAGCCACGACCATTGAGCATAACCCTGAAGTAAATAAACATTTATCATGCAGTGCTGCCACCATTTTCATTTTGTGCAAAAAGGAACCAGACTATTTTTCCTTCCAGCCTCACTTTGGTTACGTTGATTTGAATGGGAAAAAACAAGACAACTGCAACATGAGAATGGTCTATTGAACCACTGTAGTACAATGTACAAATGTCAGAACTCAATTACATGTCAATAGCTTGGGCAAAGCAGGCACTAGGCAGGGGCAGGGCTTGAGGCATAGGAAGGGGGGGGGGGCTATTAGGAAAACATTAAAGCAATTTTAGATGCAACATATCTTACAAATATGCCTACAAATAATGCTTACAAATATGACAATGCAACACCAGCATTGTAAGCAATACATGCTTCATGTCTCTTCCAGAAATCAATCAGTTTGTGTGGCTCTTTTGATCTAAACGTGTACTTTCCTTGTATTCATGAGACTCCATTTCACGTGAAGTCTACTACATAATGATATTTTTATCAGCCAAAATATTCTCTGTCCCAAATCTTCTGAAAAATCACATAGTGCATTTCATCAATAATTAACCTTAAAACAGTGCAAATGCTAAAATGGGAGTCCACGTTAAACATTTTTTAAAGGGGACACAAAAATAAGACGTGACGAAGATGAAGTTGGGAGTTTCTTTACACGGTAGGCTTGTTTTATTCATGTTCACATGTTTATCTATAGATACTTTCAGACAACTACTTTGCATGGATATCGCCAATCACCATGGCAACTTTGTTGCTAAGGACAACAAGCATTTATCCGTAGCAACTACAAATGGTGGGGTGTATGGTGTGTGTGTGTGTTAAGAAATTATGATTTACAAAACTGAGTTAATCATCAACAAATCACTGAACAAAAGGAAAATAGGACAACTTGGATGTGAAACTGCCTTGTTCCAAAACACAAGGCCAATCACATCCGAGTTAATAAGATTCCTTAAGAAATCAACTCAATAATTTACACTTTTCTAAAGAATAAAAGAATAACTAAAAAATAACCCCCTTGACTGTACAAATTTACAAATCACTGTGCCATTAATGCTGTAAAGGCTCCCATAGAAAGATATATTCAAACATTTGTCTCAGATTTGACGTCTGACCAACTAACAGAAATGGGCTGATAGTAGTATTTCGACATTCAATGGTACACACACAGTATAAACTTCCTGCCTCGTTACTAACTAAATGGTTGCCATGGTTACGGAAATGGTTTTCACTGCATGGTGGAGTCTTTGACTTTCCAACAACGATATAAATGGACTTAAACGGGAACAAAAATCAATTAAAAACAGAAAATTGCCACTTCTTACTAGAGGAGGGCTTCAGACACAAAATTCATGGCTCAGTCATTAAAAATACAAGACACACGTTTAAAAATTGTTCAAATTTTCCACAATTTCGTCTCTCAACCTTAAATCTTACACGATAAAAATTGAACATCTTACAATCTTCAAAATCTGTTTTAGATGTTGTTTTTGGAGACTACGAGACCTTGTTCACATTTCTTCAAATTTGTGTGTGCAAAAACTACTAAAAATTGACATTTAATAAAATAAAAAAGGTTCCAAAAGGGAGAATACTTTTGATGCAAGAGATCTGATGCTCTCCAAAATCATACATATCAAGATCTGTCATTGGTTGAAATTGTTTTCTTCCTTCATATAACAACGAGTTTGATTGGCTAGTGTTGCCTTTTGTCTCTTGTACAACCTCAATGTCTCCAATATTGACCATTGATTTGGACCAACACCCATTCAAATCTATTAAAAAAATTGATGGACAAATGTTCAGATTTTTGCAGGGTTGCAGCTATAAGTAAACACTGACTAGACAATGGAATCACACTAATGATCAACAGAACAGCCAACCCACAAACCAAAGGTGTAACAACAACAGACATCACATTCTTACATTCACAGTAGGGACCTATTAAAAATCAAACTATTGAGATGAATATTATACAGGCACTGGCACTTTGCAAACAAAACACTGTAGTGAATCAGTATAATCTGTGAACAATTCTGTTTGAACATGTGGAACAGATAATGCACACCACGCTTAAGTCTCAGCTCAAGTATTCATTAGAATGGTGTGACATAGTATTGTGAACAAAGGACAAACAATGCCACAGAATTCAAGATCCTGACTTCAAACTGATCCAATTCAAATGATCATTACAATAGTATACTCCTGGTTAAATTCAATCATCTATTTTGAACTTGAAGTACAAAGTTGGGGAAGGGGGATTTACAGTTTGAACTTCACTAAGGTTACCAAAGGAAACTGGGAAAAAGAATATTGAGATCAGTACACAGATATGACGAAGTAAATAATACAATAATCCAAACTATATGTACAGATTGTCCATTTTACAAAATGAACATCGGGTTTACTGGGAATACTAGTTGGAAGAAGGTCACAGGGAAAGAATGAGGAATAGGATATCCAGTGTTTTATTTTGAGATTTTCATAGCAGAAATATATCAGATCTCAGGAATGGTACAAAATGAGAGGGACAATTCAAGCCACTGTACACGTTTTCTTTGAGTAATCAATTTACAATCAACTGAGATGTTAGCAGGTTAGTTTGCAATGTTGGCACCTGTCAGAAGCTACACCAGACATCTCTATTCCTCATTCTTCCCCTAACGATGGTCTTAATTTAAAGGGACATATGACGTCCCAATCCTGTACATGGGCTAAAAACAAGTGCAACTAATATCCAAAAACACACTGTGTATCCCAGAAAGCCAAAAGAGTCAATTTTATTCAGCGACAACTGATGAAAGTTGGATCATGTTTTCAGTTTTCCTTCATTTGTTTTTTTTTATAATGCTAGCTTTTAAACTCATTGTGGCAGCATTTCTCGGCATGCCACATGACCCACAATCTGAGACTGGAAGCAGGATAGTCTAAAAAAAAGCCACATTCTGAGCAATAAATTAAGATATGATTCTTGGATGATTATTGACACCTATTTTTAGCCCCATCATTAATATGAGACTTTGTATATAACAACAGGGAATATTTTACAAGGATTCCTTAATTATCTGATCTGTACACATATTGAAATACTTAAGTTACAGGGAGTTCCATCCTCTGTACACTATCTGATGTTGAAGAAATTGATGGATTAAATATTACACCAGATTAACCTGCAAACAGTCAACACTGAAGTTTAAACAGCAGGGCAAATACAACCTGATGACATTAAATTTGGCTAGTTGTTTTTTAAACCAGGGTTGATCACAAGATAAACTGGTAAATTCCTGCAGTAACTAGTTTACCATGTACATTCCTTCAACATCAGACAGTACACAAATGAACCCAGAATATCTAAACCCCCTGCTTTGTGCTACAAGTGTACCTTAGGGTGCTTGGAGAGGTCACTACTTAGGGGGCGGAGTTGGTTTAGTTCCCGCCTCCTATGGCCCCACTGATCGGTAACCCTGCCGAACTAGTAGTGGCTGTACTTTCACTGGTTCCCTGAGATGAGCTGACTGGATCTCTCCGCGCATGTGGCGGGATAAGAATGTCATTGAGTGACGGTTTGATTGCTAGTTCTGTAAGCAGAAACAAAATGGACATAGTTAAGTTTCAATGAGAAACACAACATGCCAAACAAAATGCAAATTGTTAAAAACAAAATTTAAAGAACAAATTACGGTACATTATAAACCTTGAAACTGATGTTACATAGGCCATGAGCTAGAATTTGCAAGGGTTCTATGTCAACAAACACTATGGGGATTATGGAGTATTAGCTTGTACGCATGAACTGTTCATCCATTCAAAAAATAGTGCATACAAGGGACGGGGAAATTTAGACTTTGGGAAAAATGTCCTTCACTGATAGTGATGATTCCAACTGATCTAAAGCAGTATCAACCATTTTACAGTAGAACACTAATAAATAAAACACAATGGGGACAACCAAAGATTGTTTGATAACGCAATTGTTCATTATTGCCACTATCGGCCAGGCGGCCACCACTACCAAGTACAATAGCCTTGAGAAATAATGATCTCATGCTTTGTTCACATGTGCGCTTTTCCACGTGAGCAAGGTGGGGACGAGTGCCACCAAACTCCCATTAAAAAGCCTGAGTGAAGGTGTTGAGTTTACTGCACCTACCCTGTGCGGTGAAGTTGAATAACGGTGGAAGAGGCCGCGTATTGGGTAACCTAGTACCCGGGTCTCGAAGCTCATCAAAGAATTTGTGGGAGCAAGCATCAAGAGGCGATATCCTAGAAGACGGTGTGTACTCCAGGAGTTTACTACAGAGATCAATGGCATCAGACGGAGTCCTGGGCCGGAATACCTGCACAGGGATAAAGGAATGTTACAACTTGCTACGGAGATCAATGGCATCAGAAGTAATGCAAGGCTGGAATACCTGCACAGGGATAAAGGAATGTTACAACTTGCTACAGAGATCAATGGCATCAGAAGTAATGCAAGGCTGGAATACCTGCACAGGGATAAAGGAATGTTACAACTTGCTACGGAGATCAATGGCATCAGAAGTAATGCTAGGCCGGAATACCTGCACAGGGATAAAGGAATGTTACAACTTGCTACGGAGATCAATGGCATCAGAAGTAATGCTAGGCCAGAATACCTGCACAGGGATAAAGGAATGTTACAACTTGCTACGGAGATCAGTGGCATCAGAAGTAATGCTAGGCCAGAATACCTGCACAGGGATAAAGGAATGTTACAACTTGCTACGGAGATCAGTGGCATCAGAAGTAATGCTAGGCCGAAATACCTGCACAGGGATAAAGGAATGTTACAACTTGCTACGGAGATCAGTGGCATCAGAAGTAATGCTAGGCCGGAATACCTGCACAGGGGTAAAGGAATGTTACAACTTGCTACGGAGATCAATGGCATCAGAAGTAATGCTAGGCCGGAATACCTGCACAGGGATAAAGGAATGTTACAACTTGCTACGGAGATCAATGGCATCAGAAGTAATGCTAGGCCAGAATACCTGCACAGGGATAAAGGAATGTTACAACTTGCTACGGAGATCAATGGCATCAGAAGTAATGCTAGGCCGGAATACCTGCACAGGGATAAAGGAATGTTACAACTTGCTACGGAGATCAATGGCATCAGAAGTAATGCTAGGCCGGAATACCTGCACAGGGATAAAGGAATGTTACAACTTGCTACGGAGATCAGTGGCATCAGAAGTAATGCTAGGCCGGAATACCTGCACAGGGGTAAAGGAATGTTACAACTTGCTACGGAGATCAATGGCATCAGAAGTAATGCTAGGCCAGAATACCTGCACAGGGATAAAGGAATGTTACAACTTGCTACGGAGATCAATGGCATCAGAAGTAATGCTAGGCCAGAATACCTGCACAGGGATAAAGGAATGTTACAACTTGCTACGGAGATCAATGGCATCAGAAGTAATGCAAGGCCGGAATACCTGCACAGGGATAAAGGAATGTTACAACTTGCTACGGAGATCAATGGCATCAGAAGTAATGCTAGGCCGGAATACCTGCACAGGGATAAAGGAATGTTACAACTTGCTACGGAGATCAATGGCATCAGAAGTAATGCTAGGCCGGAATACCTGCACAGGGATAAAGGAATGTTACAACTTGCTACGGAGATCAATGGCATCAGAAGTAATGCTAGGCCGGAATACCTGCACAGGGATAAAGGAATGTTACAACTTGCTACGGAGATCAGTGGCATCAGAAGTAATGCTAGGCCGGAATACCTGCACAGGGATAAAGGAATGTTACAACTTGCTACGGAGATCAATGGCATCAGAAGTAATGCTAGGCCGGAATACCTGCACAGGGATAAAGGAATGTTACAACTTGCTACGGAGATCAATGGCATCAGAAGTAATGCTAGGCCAGAATACCTGCACAGGGATAAAGGAATGTTACAACTTGCTACGGAGATCAATGGCATCAGAAGTAATGCAAGGCCGGAATACCTGCACAGGGATAAAGGAATGTTACAACTTGCTACGGAGATCAGTGGCATCAGAAGTAATGCTAGGCCGGAATACCTGCACAGGGGTTGTGCACAAAGCAGATCTATATTATAAGACAGATTTTTTTTGTGTCGGGGTGATATAAATCAAATTAGGTGACCTCCTGCTTTCTAGTGCAGATGTCTTACCACTCGACCACCGAGCTAACGGGATCGGTTGGCTGGTTCGAATCTGATGTACCCGCTGCTATGTACATCAGATTCGAACCAGCCAACTGATCCCGTTAGCTCGGTGCTTGAGTGGCAAGACATCTGCACTAGAAAGCAGGAGGTCGTGGCTCCAAGTCCCACCCGAGTGATTTTTTTCAACTTTCACTCGGGAGGTAACACACTGAGTATACAGTGTTTACACGTTGGTGAAGGGCAAAACCTCATTTGATTCAGATCTATATAGTTTAATATTCAAGGCCTTACCATATTGGATACAAGTATGTCAGTTAGGGTTAGGGATCGGTTGTCTTGTGGTCTAGAAACATACATTGTAGTATTATCCAGACTTGTATTCGAGTCACGAAACATCAAGTCCGAGTCACATTTCTCGAGTCCAAGTCCGAGTCCCGAGTCCTACAGGTCGAGTCCGGGTCACGAGTCACAAAGGTCGAATCCAAGTCCGAGTCACGAGTCACCTCTAACATTGTATTGGAAAAACGTACATTTTAGGGAGTTCAGAGATTCAGAGTCACCTTTGATAAAGTAAAAGGTGGCGATTGAAAGTTTGACGTAGTGCCGGTTTTCTCCTCTATTTTCCTCTTGCAGAACTTGCAATCTGCACTTGATCTTCCATTGGCATTTCTCTTGAAGTTAAGATATCCAAAATTGACAATTTTTGGAGTGGATGCCATCATGATCTACGTTGCAACTTGCATGTAACGTTACCGAAACGGGCAGATCAGTAGACTATTCATATTGTGTTATCGCGATGCGACAGCAATACACGTGTGAACGACAGGACGTCTGACAAGAAAAGTCTGGTACCTTACCCTATCAATCTTGCACCAATGCAGTTTTACGTGCAGACGGCGGGGTACAAGTTTCGGTACATTGATTTCTTTAATCAATATATTGGTAACAGGCCACGGCCACGCACGCACGGCATCGAGCGCCCTGTACATGTATTGCACAGTAAAGAAAACGATCGACTTACGTATGTGCGCGTGTGCAGTGCGGTAATTTCCGTCGAGTCACAAGTCACTTCGAGTCCAAGTCCGAGTCCGAGTCCGAGTACGAGTCGTAAGTCAAAGTGACTCGAGTCCGAGTCATTAAAAAAGTGACTCGAGTCGGACTCGAGTCCGAGTCACGAGTCATACAAGTCTGGTATTATCTTCAGCATTACTGTTCCTAAGCAAGATATATTCCAACTACATCTCTTAATCAGGCAGCAGCTCTCCACAGTTCTGTAACACACCTGCCTTGCTATGAGCCATTTAATACAGTGTTGAGTACGTAAGACTCGTGCCGCTCTTGTAGCATCACTTTCTACTGAGTTTATGCTTTTAAGAAAGGCACATTATTTTACATGTTTGTTAAAACTGATTCAGTCATGTCCATTACAAGTCAACTTTCAAGTCATTTGTAAAGTATCAACCTGGGTACATGAAGGTGAAACGATTGTGTGAAACAGCCTTATGTCGGAGTTTACCTTGTTCCATGGGTGAGGTTTTATCTGTGGGAATTTGAACTCTGTATAGTTGGGATTCATTTCATGGATTTGGTCCCGTGACGGAGTGCCTAGAACCTTGATGATTTCTACTAGTTGATCCACTCCGCTATCCCCAGGAAATATTGGCTGACCCAGGAGTAATTCAGCTAGGACACAGCCGGCTGACCATACATCTATGCACATAAAAGAAATATAAGTTGTAAATGCTAAGCACACAATCTGAGACTGTAAGCAGTAATCACCCAATAGGCGTGCTTACCTTTGAGGAACAAGTTGGTTAATTGGTGATGAAACAATAAAAAACATCTCCATTCATTTTCTGTTATAGTTAATATAACTTTTCTGCTTACTGTTAAGCAGCGCTATGAAATTGGGCCTGGTTGAGTATCAGTTAATATGTGTAATGACATCAAGTTAAAGCACAGAATACATGTAATGTGTGGTCAGGTATCACGTCAAAGGTGGCCTTCGCTGAAACCAAAAGTATTAGGAACAACTTTGATTGACTCAATAAATTAGTTTCAGTCACGCAAACTTTATATAAATTACCATTGACTAGACTGTGTGACTACAACAGTTTATCGTTTGACAACTTTCGTGTGTAAGTAAAATAAACGTCAAACATAATTGAAATCTGAAACACAATTTAGTTCAGCCTGACTCTGGAATGCTGACTTTGAAATGTGTGTAACTTACTAGCTTACCTATATTGCATGTGTAGTCTGTGGCACCAAAGATGAGTTCTGGTGCTCTGTAGTACCTTGAGCAGATGTAAGATACATTAGGCTCACCTGGTACTAGTTGTTTTGCACTGCAGAAAAAACAACACCACATTGTACAAACACATATTTCAAAACTCATAAACACATTAACCCTAACCCCCTGGAGTGATTTACCAGGAACCTTCCTCAATCTTGCAAAATCCAACACCATATGGTAACTCAACACCCAAACTGTTGGACTCTGATTATTGGTGGTATGCCTGACCCCATGTAAGGCATCATCAGTTTACTAGTGCAGTACTCGCTCCAACAGATTCCAACAAAACGTGTGGTTGGATTTTGAAGGGTTGTCCGTGGTTAGGGTTATTGAAATAACGGTCTCTAGAGGGTGAATTTAAACACAATTCTTGCAAAGACAAAACAAACACCCACAATCTGTATGGAACTGTGGTGTACAGACTGTCGTTTTCTGTCATTTACTAATGCGCTCTACAACATTCGACACATTCATTTTTGCTTTCAAAAATATGACAGGTGGTTCAAAATGTTCTCATACTTATTTGTTTTTTGAAACCCAACAGGTATTTCAGAATGAGAATGCAGGTGTGGTTTGGCTTTATAACATGTTATAGGCCTGGCAGCTGATAACACCTGTCACCTTTGACCTGGGTCAGTCTTAAACCGCAACTTTGCAACTACTCCATCACACTAGTATTCCACTGAAATATCCAACTGCAAATATTCCTACCTTCCAAAGTCTATCAGTTTAAGTACCCCTGATTCTGGATCCAAGAGCAAGTTCTGTGGCTTAATATCTCGATGGCAGACTCCTAGAGAATGAATGTAGGCTAGACTGCGGAATAACTGGTACATGTACAACTGGGGAAAAAAAGAAAATAAAAATATCCAAACTTAAGTCTCTTGTAATCTTTGTACAGTAAAATGCAAGTTTGCTTAATGCTGTTGCGTTAAATATTGACTTTTAAAATTGACAAACATCCCCTTAAAACTCCAATGGAAAATTGTTCATGCAAATGAAAGGAGTAGCATTTGGGAGGATTTGTGTACTAACTAGACTTTTCAATAACTGGTATCATGATGCCTCAGCTTTCCATGGGCTCAAGTTTACATGAATTACAAAAAGATTTTGAGAGTTCCATTATGAAATATATCACTTCTGATAAAAAAAACTACAAGCTGAAGGACTGGGTATTATGATTAATGATCATTGCAAAATGCTCTAATAATGACACAAACTTCAAATATAAACAAACAAATAAAAAATATATTGTAATGATTATATGGTGTTTTCCATCGTATGAACAATCTCAAAACGTTTTACAACTAGTTCCCCATTCATCAGGCCACGAGACTATGCTGCAGCCGATATAACCATTATCTTGACTGATTCAGAAGGTGATTCAGAAAAGAATAATAACAGTGACGTGCAGTGACTGCTATGAGGTGTAACCCATATGAGAAACAAAAGGAAATAATTGCACAGATCATTTCCCATACATCATACATTTCCTTTGTTACCACAGACACTAATACATGCTACCCACTCATCCATTGTGTGGTGCATAGGATTGCATCAGGTGGGATTCCACTTCCACCTACAATGTATACACAATTTATAGCATAACTGAGCAAGGTCAAATAGGTTACATGTGGGAAGTTTAATGTCCTCCCACCCACAAACATGTCCGTGTCCATGGCCATTTACTACTGCCTCCAGCAGGTAACAGCAAGAACTATGGCTAACCAGAGATGGACTAACTCACTCCAGCCCACAGCGTATCTACTGGTAGTCTAGTGGCTATTCCAAGGTTGGTCACTTCCTTGGTTGCAATATCTGCATCATGTTGCACAGCAGGAACTATGGCTAACCAGAGATGGACTAACTCACTCCAGCCCACAGTGTATTCTAGTGGCTATTCCAAGGTTGGTCACATCCTTGGTTGCAATATCTGCATCATGTTGCACAGCAGGCAGCCATGATCAAGACGTTTTGTGGTGACATTTTGATCATTGTTTGACTAGAGACATTCACACATTGCTAAAACCTGGCAGGTGTAACTTACTTATCAACTAGGTGACCAATGTTTCTTGATCAAACTTGCACAGTTTACGTTTCAACAATTTCCATCGAAGACCTATTCTCAGTGGTATCGGTACCTTAATTTGGACACAACATGGATTCAAAGAGATCGTTGCCCACACTATTAAAGCGGTACCATGATAATATATTGACTCTTTAGAGTCAAGACACAGTTTGCCATGGTGTCTTAAGGTGGACACAAAATGGCTTCAAAGAGATCGTTGCCCACACTAAGCGGTACCATGATAATATATTGACTCTTTAAAATCAAGACACAGTATGCCATGGTGTCTTAAGGTGGACACAAAATGGATTCAAAGAGATCGTTGCCCACACTAAGCGGTACCATGATAATATATTGACTCTTTAGAGTCAAGACACAGTATGCCATGGTGTCTTAAGTTGGACACAAAATGGATTCAAAGAGATCGTTGCCCACACTAAGCGGTACCATGATAATATATTGACTCTTTAAAATCAAGACACAGTATGCCATGGTGTCTTAAGGTGGACACAAAATGGCTTCAAAGAGATCACTGCCTGTGTTTCCCTGATATTGTGACATGGCAATGGTCAATTACACAGGCCTTACCTTGACGTATAATATTGGTATCGTCTGCTTGTTTTTGCTGTAATGTCTCGCTACCCTATACACTGTCTCTGGAACGTACTCCAACACTAGATTCAGATACACCTCATCTTTCTGCTGTCGGACAAAAAAAAGGAGACAGAAAAGTATAAATAAATGACAAGAAAGACCAGAGTGGAACAAAACTATAGCAATACAAAAAGGAACCAAAAAAAGCTGCAAAAACAAAAAATGTAAGATACAATGTAGATAGGCTTGAGATTATTGGCATGCATGTGCCGGTACAATGACAATGTATGACACAATAGACTTTACATACGTGTACATGTACATGTATGTGTTGTGTGGAGTTTAAGGTAGGCATGAGTAAACCTTTTTGTGTATTCATTGTTACAAAATAAAATCAAGAGCACCAGCAGAAACACCCATAATGCAGACAGTCTATTTCCATCAGTTCACCTACTACAGACAGTGTACAATGTTCCCATTCCCAGGGAAAGCTCACCCCCAGCTATCTGACCTTCCCACCTGTACTTAGCATGACCCACTTCTCCCATTCCCACAATGCTGTAATCCGCCTGACATTGAACTCATACATACAACATTGACCTACGGCATGCCTGTCATCTATACAACCTGCCTTGTGATTCATCATGCACTGGTTTAGGAAAAAGGAAATGGTTAACGTGTCATAGTTTTCAAGGCCTTGGAAAAACTCCCAGATGCAGATTTGAAATTCTACTTTACCTTTCCCGAGCCGCTGGACTTTTCACCACTGGAGTAGAAGAAATATTTCAGCCTGACGATATTGCAGTGCTCAAGCTTTCTCATGATCTGCAACTCTCGATTCTATTCACAGAAACAATGATATTTTTTAAAAATCTATAACCATGAGTCCAAGGCCCACTCAAAGTGGTGAGAAAGAAGGAATCTGTAAATACAGTGAAATGTAGGTAAGTCAAACTCTGATAACTCAAAACAGCTGTTAAGTCAAAAAAAGAATTCACTGCCTTCAGTAGTATAACAATGATTTACCGGTGCAACCCTGCTTAAGTCAAAACTCTGCTTAAGTCAAATTTTAAACCTGTTCCCTTGAGGTTTGACTTGTCAAGATTTCACTGTACATGTATTTTGTTTCATCTGTGACAGTTACAAGAAGTGTAAAGCAAGATCTTGGCAAGAAGTTTCACAGTATGAGGGAAGACCTTTACTTCATCGTACCGGATCTTACAACATCAACCATTGCTTTACAACAGAATGTAGAAGATTGACCATGATAAATCAAGTTTAATAACGCAAGCACAAACAAAATTTAGAATGTTGAGAAAAGACAGATTCGGTGAATAACATCTGAAATCAAAGAATGATCCCACATATTCAATCCAAACACTGTTAAAATTACTGATAAAAGCAAGTTACCAACTCATAAAGGAAAGGTTCCTGAATGACCTTTAACCTCTCACCTTAAATCTTTTATCTTGTAAGACCTTCTTTATTGCAACCATCTCTCCTGTATCAGTGAGCTTGGCTTGATGTACCACACCAAACGACCCATTGCCGATGATTTTGGTTTCGGAGTACGAGATCTCCACATTGCAGGCCTCTTGTCTGGCGTTCGAGACAGCGCCCGACGTCGCCATGACTGTCGTGACCCGATTGCCATCTTTGTCTGATTGAGAAGAAAAAGACATTTCATTAAATACTTGAAACAAATAGCAATCTTGATCCAATTGGAAACTAATCTTGTTTGAATGCAAACACTGGCTAAGGCTGCGTCCAATCTTCTTGGCTATGGCTTGCAATTACACATGCACTCTATGGAAGTGGCTGAAGCCATTACCCACAGACAGGTGTGTACTGCCAGCCATAGTCAAGTACAATCTTCTTGGCTATGGCTTGCAATTACACATGCACTCTATGGAAGTGGCTGAGGCCATTACCCATAGACAGGTGTGTACTGCCTGCCATAGTCAAGTACAATCTTCTTGGCTATGGCTTGCAATTACCCATGCACTCTATGGAAGTGGCTGAAGCTATTACCCATAGACAAGTGTGTACTGCCGGCCATAGTCAAGTACAATCTTCTTGGCTATGGCTTGCAATTACCCATGCACTCTATGGAAGTGGCTGAAGCTATTACCCATAGACAAGTGTGTACTGCCGGCCATAGTCAAGACCAATTTGGATGCAACATAATAAGACAGGGACTTGAAGGTTGATCAGCTTTGTTTGTCCTAGCCTAAGTAACATTTTGGCCCAAATGAGAATGAGACAAGAATCAAGAAGAATAGGCCCATCATTTCTAAAACCATAACAACAAATGAAATTTTTGCTGGTGAAATTTTGTATTGACATCAATTTTATCAAATGTATTTTGTTGTCAGAGACAGTTAAAAAACCCAGTTTTTCCACCGGAGAGAACGAACAAATGCTTAGTGGGAGCAAACTATGTCCTTGTATGGAAATAGTGCAAGTACATACATGTACATCACAGTACATGTACTGTAAATGATTTATTTGCAGTGATTACAGATTACATAACAGTCAAGGCTCCAGGCTGAGAGAGGAAAAAAACATTTAAGGACAAAACCTCTAAAACAGTGATAACCTTGTACCATAGATCAGAACAAGGCATTCTGAAGCCTGAAACGTTGTAAACAGAAGGAGAAAATGTACATGTACCGGTATATGCTTACGTGTTTGTATGTTGACATGTACATGTACTCAAGCAAATTATTCACACACATTTATCTCGATTAAGATCAGCAAACATTTAGTTTCTTTAACACTGAATTATTGATCTTTAATGAGTAACAAAGGTTTGAATGTACATTACATGTACCGGTACTTGTAAATGTTATCACTGACATACATGTACATGTAATACAAAGAGTACGTGTACATGTACCAAAAGGAATCCCCATATCTCAATGAAAACAATCAACAATACAACACACGTTCAGGTTTTTATTGTACATGTACATCACACATGTACCCAGTTACATACAATGTAATGGTACATGTACATGTAGTCATGTACATGTACCTGTACTCTGATATGACCCATTACGTATGTAAAATCCACATTGATGCAATGCAGGCAGCACAGCAGGCAGGCACTAATTAATTCCTACAGCATAAGTTGACAACACTGTAGGGTCAGCTTAATTGGGTTATACAATTATTGTGAACATGACCTCACACCACCATACATAACTGAATACATGTATAATATAATACACGTGTATACGTATGGTACAACTGTGTGTGTACAGTTAAAGTGTACATGTATACAAAGCACGTATGCAGACTGTACATGTACATGTATATTTTTTAATGTGTGTATTACGGTACATGTACATGTACATGTATGTACTTCATCATCTTTCCTAAATGCACATTTTTGCATTCATCACAGACAGATGCGTTTTATATTTTTCTCGAGTGATGACAATGTAGTGACAAATGTCCAATGCCAAGCAAATTTAACCACCCTGTATGCAAATTGTCAATGAGTTGGGAATTGTTAAAATTTGACAGACAGGCCTAAAGGATAGACCCTTTTAAGTTTTATATCATGATATTGAAATCCCATGTTTTTCTTCCGTTTTTATTAACGTTTTGACGTGATTTTAGTACAAGTTACATGTACCAGTACCAAGTACATGTTGAGTATACTAGATTTATACACTGTACTCTGTTGTTTCAATATTAGATGTTGCTAAGTAATCTTGGACTTTTTGGTATGATTTGTAGGCTTAAACCGTGATAACTGATGTACGTGTACATGTACACAAAATGTACAGTGAAACCCAGATTTGTACACATTTGCATATTGTATCATTTGTATTAGCAACAACAAAGCAACCGTGACATCAGCTCAATGCCAAGTCACAAAATGTGCATACTAGTGTCCATGTATGCAACAATGTACATGTATACATGCGTACCAAGGTGCCACACATAATATACATCACGATGCATTTCGAACCTGCCCATCATACACATGGATGTACACGTTGAAACCATGTTGGCAGAAAGGTTAACAAACTCTTTAGCAGAATGGCCTGCGTACACTGCCAATGGATATGAACTTGACTGCGTGATGCATGACCCCAACTTGAACTTATGGAAGCCATATTTCACAGTTCAAATGGCTCACCTCTTCACGTACAAATGTAGGTTTGTTTGTGCACAGACTTGCACTGTTGCAGTATTCACACTGACCTTGGCACACAGGCTTAGCAGTGCTCTTATTTACCACATTTTGGAGTACACATATTAATTACACTACATTGTACATGTACATGCAAAAGAAAAGTTATGACCTTGTAATCACAGACTTATTCAATGTACATTCTCATGTACATGCATACATGTACATGTACATGTAGAATGTACAGAAATGAGTGATCTCAAACAGAAGTGAATACCCTCATACATGTTTGCAACAATACGCACATCTTTGTTGCATTGTGTACTTTTTTTTGTATACATGAACAACAGTGTACACACATTGTGGTGTCCGTGTAATGAATTCTATTGTGTGTATGACTAAATGACAATTTTTCATTTCAATTGTTACTGTTTGATAACGATTACTTGTATTTTCTGTACATGCTTGACTGCTTGTACATGTACACCTGCCTTTGATTGCTTGCAGGTGTATTCAGAAGGCCCTACCAGTATCTCCCAGTTACAATGTAGACTCAGGTAAAGTTCAGAGACACTGAATGTTACACAGCTACATGTAGAACTACTTAGGTCTAAAAATCTACACAGGTAAAATCCCAATCTACAGTTGACCCGCATACACACAAACTGGTGTGAATGATCTAAATCACAGTGGACCCACGTTGACAAAATACCAGTATAAACATACATACACGTAGGGTAGACAATATTGTGGGGAAAACCCTAAATAATACACACTCAGCATGTGTACCTCTGATCAATGACTTGTTTTGTGCTTATCCACACCTGTCTTCAAGCCGATCCTTAAAATAACCCCGTGTCTACTTTCTCACCTCAGGATGTCCCATGTATAATCCTCTGGCTAAAGCCACACATCCATCTTCTGTTCCTTAAGGACATCAATGAACCACTCAGTAAACAACATCTCTCTCTCTCTATCTCTCTCTACATGTACACATGTACATCCATGATAGTGGCATTTTTACCAAAACAAAGCTGAAGACTATTGATCTAAATGTCACTATATAGAGAGAGTAATATAATGATATCAATAGTACTGTCAAATGTATTATAAACAGGGATGGTTCTTTAAATAATTTCTTAAATACTTAAAAAAAAGCACACAACAGTTTCCTTACCACACAATGCTTAGTGTAAGTCATCGGTCCCGTATGCTTTGAATTTTGTATTTGTTATATTTGATAAACACGTATGTATGTACATTTATTAATATTACATGTATGCAGACAGTTATCTTTATTGTATCATTAATTTACATGTAATTAATGCATGCACTTCTGATTATAATAATTTCCTTCATAAAAGTACACGTACATGTACCCGGTACATGTACGGTACGGTGATTTTTTTCCTTTGTAGAATTGCAGCATTGATTTTACATTTTTAAGTACATGAAATTTTCTAAGATATATTTCTTCTGTGATGTTGTACAACCATCAACCTGGTCAGTTTTCTGACAACAATATCATCATAGTATACAAATATTGAGTGGCTCAGTGAGGAATGGGAGGAATATTATTGCAAGGTAAAATCTGAACTTTTTCATTTCACGAGGCGAAGCCGAGTGAACTGGAAAAGTCCAGTTTTTACCGAGCAATACTATTCCTCCCATTTCACAATTTAACGCCACTCAATATTTGTTTTATATAACTGACATAGATCCTTGTCATTTGATATATTTGATCTTTTATTTCCATACAAAACTGGAGGAAAATGTATTTCTCTCTTCCAAACCACCCCTTCACGAAAATGTTTGAACCCAACGCTGTAGCACTGGCTCTATGGAACAATGCGCGCTATGCGCAACGCTGAACGTGCATACCAGCATGCATTTGCACACAAATACCACGTCATGGTCGTAACTGTTAAACAGTATTTCCCATGGGCAGATAGTACTTTTTGAGCCGCGGCATGAATGGGAGCAATAACGAATGTCACGTGATGTAAGTTCCACCAATCAAATGACAAGGATCTGTATGTAGGTAATATAAATTAGTTCTATTACTAAGATACCGGTAGTGAGGTCCATATAAAACAGTGTCAGTGCTAAGATGTAAATCCATAGCGGAATGTAAAGCATGTCAATCTGAAGGCAGAGTTGGTAAATGGCAGATCAGTGGGATGCTTGCTAAACATGTAACACAATACACTGCTGTCACTGAACATGACTGAGGATGGCAGAATGGTTTAAAGGGATTACACTGGCATGTCGATTGCTCTATGTGTGTTTGATTAGAAAATTCCTATTGACTTGTTTGAATGTTGAAGATCTTGATAATTGTTGTATTGACACGATGAATCAAGAAAAATCTTACTTAAGTCTTCCTTTTATAAGAAACTGAGGTGTACTCCTTTGCTTGTTTTGTTTCAATATTTTTTACAAGTAATCAAAAAACCAGGGACTGAGAGGGGGATAACAGATAAGAAATCTACCTGAGAGATGCAAGGCCAAGT